CAGCGCCAGCCTCCAGTGCCGAGTGAGAGCAGCGAGGGCTGCAGGAATCGCCAGGGCCCCAGAGCCAGGGGCCAGAGAACTGTCTGCACGCTCCTTGGGGCGCACTCTCTTGTGGGAGCAGCGTCCCCCGGGCTTCCCTCAGCACTGCCACTTATGGCCCAAAGCAGGGACTCCACCCCCTGCCCGACTCACCCCACCCCTGCAGCCCGGCTCTACAAATACACAGACACGCCAGCAAGAGCCATGAAATAGAGACATCAGTTGAGACTGGCCGGCGCACAGGGCAGTGCTGGGGGCTGGAGCGAGAGAGAGACAGACATGGTGTCTGGCAGAGCTATTACACAGAGCATGCACTGTGCACACACGCAAAGCGGGAGACCAGCCCCAGCGCCTGACTCTCCACTGCCTGTACGCTGGCGCCTCACGCAGGGCGTGCTGCTTAATAAATGCGATGACTGCCCGCCCTGCCCGCCAATGCTGAGCACAGCACCAGAACCAGTCTGCAGGCCCGGCAGGGTGTGAGACATTCTGGGGCAAGGTGTTTTATGTAACAACAAACTCCCTAGGGCCCCAGGCACCCCCCACCATGAAAGGATTAAAGAACAACAGCAGTGATGCTTTAAAATCTGAGTGACTGTGCACAAGAAGAAACAACACGGCCAAATGCTCACCCCTCGCGGGGATCACCCCACTGGGAGGAATGACTCTGGCCTGAGGCGGTTGTGAAAACCACCTAACGCTACGCACAGGCTGCGCCTGGGTGACAGATGTGAAAAGGCTCCGAGCAGCAGCCAGACTCGGCTGAATGCAGACCCCTGTGCGGGCAGTCTGCTGCATCCCTTGGCAGCACAGCGCTAACACACCCGGGCTGATCTCCCTGCCGTGCAGGGCAAGGGCTTCTCTGCAACGGGCCGCTGACGCTAGAAGCCCCTAGAAGAAGCCGCTGGCAGACAGAGGGCAGGAGATGACTCGCACTTCCGGGGTGAGGTTGGGGTTACCCTTTACTGCTAGAGCTGCGGAGCCGAGGCTCAGGGAGCCCCTGCAGCCGGCAAGGAAGACCGGGGAGAGGTAAACAGACAACGGCGCCTGCTCTTGCTAGCGAGCCGATTTGAAAAGTCTCTGAAGCACCTCGCCCGATACAAACTAGAGTCAGCCGTTCCTGGCCTCCTGAGATGGAGGGCTGGAGTAATACTTGGAGCCACTCTGGCCACTGAGACCACGACTGTGCTTACAAGGGGATCTCACTCGTCAGCATCACCTGGGACTCTCACAGCAACTTTCCCACACAAACGTCTCCCCAGCGGATTCCCCCTCTCCTCCTCCTCCCCCCATCTGCAGCCCTGTCCCAGCTGTCCTCCTCGCACTCTTCCTACTTGCAACAGGTTACTTGGGCTCTCCAGGCACAAAATGCAGCAGAGCTAAGTGGCAACATGTACGCCGCTGGGGAGCCCCGGCCCCTCAGTCCCTAGCTAGGGCACTAGACATCTGCGCCAGCTCCATTCCCTGTGGAGAAGTCACCTTCTCCCGCGCCAGCCCGCCGCGCGCCCGCTCTCTTACCTACCGGGCAAGGGGACTATACCTGGCTCCGAGATACTCAGGCTCTGGTCTGAAGGCAGGAGCAGGAACTCCCGGCAGGCTTCCAAATCCAGGCTGGGCAGGCTTTTCTTGCGGCACAGCTCGCTGACGATCTGGACTGCCTTTTGACACCGGCTGTCCTCCTTGGTGGCACTCATCTCCCAAGCGGCATCCTTCGCTCTCCCCCCAGCTGGCTGTCTAGGAAAACTCAACCAGGAGAGAATGTATTTATCTCCAGGAACACAGCGACTCCCACTCTGCCCCCTGGCGCTCTGCTCTGCCCGGCTGCACGCTGCCCTCAGCTCTCAGGACCCGAGTGCTGGAGGGCAGCCTCCTGCGATGTCTGATTGCCTCCGAGATCAGCTAGCTCTGCACTGCCAAGGCGTGTGCCAGCCACACAAGAACCTCCTACCAGATTCAGTTTGATACCTTCCATGCTACAGTTTAAAGCTGCAGCCAAGAGCACGGTTTAACCCCTTGCTTGCTGCACTGTGTCACTCAGCATGTGAGGAGGCATCTGCACTGCCCAGGGCAAAGCTCAGATCCACACTCAAGAGCTTCTCGGCAGAAAAATGAGCCTTGGACTCTCCAGCTTGTCACCAGCACCAGGGCAAGCAGGGAGTGTGCAGCGTACCACACCCAGAGAAACAGGCTTTAGCTGCTGCGGGGGGCCCGGGTGACCGCCCCAGGCTGCAGGAAGCAGCTCCGCAGTATTGTTCATGTCTGGCATCACTCTTGGCTGTGCCTTATAACCTAGCCGTCAGGGCAGGCAGCATGACAGCTGCTCTGGGAACTAGAGTCGGGCATGAGCAAAGAAGCGGAGCACAGAGTGGGGTAATTACCATGGTCCCCAGCGGACTCGTTTCTTGCGGCCTCTGACGAGGAGCAGCTAGTGCTCCAGAGAGAAGCTGAGGAAAGCTGCCTGGTGTGCTAATCCCCCATCTCCCAAGGGCCTCTGGCTCCACGCCGCTGAACTGCCCTGCCAGCACTCGCAACAGCTCTCTGTGCAACCCCCAACGCGAGCCCCGCTCAGGGCTCCGCGGATGCCCCCAGACTCAGGGTCCTCTGCAGCAGTGGTTCCCCACGCAGGGCAGAGGGAGCGACATGCTGTAGCCAACTATCGGGGGCGCAGAGCAAACCCGCATCCTCCTGGCACATGGCATGGCAGAGGAGCAAGCTGGGCGGCGTCAGGCTGGCATCCCAACACGCACAGGAGGACACCGAGGTGGCAGGGCAGGGCAGCCTGGCAATGTGCCAGAGCCTAGGAACACGGGGCTGGTGCAAGGCAGGTCAGACTGGATGATCACATCAGTCCACTGCGGCCCTCTCAAGCTACCACACGAAACTAACTGACCCTGCTGTGGGGCCAGAGAACAGCAGAGCCACAAGCACACGGGCCTGGGCACGTATCCTGGGACCCAGAGAGGAAGAAAGAGTGACCACAGCGATTATCATCAAGTGAAAGATCACACGACCCGTCATGTAACGGAACCCCCTAGACCCACACCTACCGCTCTGCCATGTGACAGGGCCCCTAGACCCACACCTACTGCTCTGCCATGTGACAGGGCCCCTAGACCCACACCTACTGCTCTGCCATGTGACAGGGCCCCTAGACCCACACCTACTGCTCTGCCATGTGACAGGGCCCCTAGACCCACACCTACTGCTCTGCCATGTGACAGGGCCCCTAGACCCACACCTACTGCTCTGCCATGTGACAGGGCCCCTAGACCCACACCTACTGCTCTGCCATGTGACAGGGCCCCTAGACCCACACCTACTGCTCTGCCATGTGACAGGGCCCCTAGACCCACACCTACTGCTCTGCCATGTGACAGGGCCCCTAGACCCACACCTACTGCTCTGCCATGTGACAGGGCCCCTAGACCCACACCTACTGCTCTGCCATGTGACAGGGCCCCTAGACCCACACCTACTGCTCTGCCATGTGACAGGGCCCCTAGACCCACACCTACTGCTCTGCCATGTGACAGGGCCCCTAGACCCACACCTACTGCTCTGCCATGTGACAGGGCCCCTAGACCCACACCTACTGCTCTGCCATGTGACAGGGCCCCTAGACCCACACCTACTGCTCTGCCATGTGACAGGGCCCCTAGACCCACACCTACTGCTCTGCCATGTGACAGGGCCCCTAGACCCACACCTACTGCTCTGCCATGTGACAGGGCCCCTAGACCCACACCTACTGCTCTGCCATGTGACAGGGCCCCTAGACCCACACCTACTGCTCTGCCATGTGACAGGGCCCCTAGACCCACACCTACTGCTCTGCCATGTGACAGGGCCCCTAGACCCACACCTACTGCTCTGCCATGTGACAGGGCCCCTAGACCCACACCTACTGCTCTGCCATGTGACAGGGCCCCTAGACCCACACCTACTGCTCTGCCATGTGACAGGGCCCCTAGACCCACACCTACTGCTCTGCCATGTGACAGGGCCCCTAGACCCACACCTACTGCTCTGCCATGTGACAGGGCCCCTAGACCCACACCTACTGCTCTGCCATGTGACAGGGCCCCTAGACCCACACCTACTGCTCTGCCATGTGACAGGGCCCCTAGACCCACACCTACTGCTCTGCCATGTGACAGGGCCCCTAGACCCACACCTACTGCTCTGCCATGTGACAGGGCCCCTAGACCCACACCTACTGCTCTGCCATGTGACAGGGCCCCCTAGACCCCACCTACTGCTGAGCCATGTGACAGATGCCTTTAAGTTTAAGCTGCCTTTTATGCGGCTGCCAAGGGGTCAGAGCGTCCCTGGCCCCCGTGCTCTTCCCACCCCACTGTTTACTCTCCCGAGTGCGGGCCGGCTGCTTGCATGGGCCCCGCAGACCCTGAATGGTGCAGGCACAAGCCCGAGGACTGTCTGTATCTAGGGCACTTACCTACTCCCGCCACTGGACTCTGTGGAGCCTTTAATGGATTGAAACACCCGCTGTGAGTCAGGCGCAGCTATTATCCCCGAACAGAGAGAAACAAGCCATGGAGGTCCCCTGGGGCTGCTGCGCAGCTGTAGGACTAGCGCGCTGCCTTCTGGCCCCTCACCCGGGCTGGGGCACTGCTCTCACTTGCCACCTGATTGCAGGAGGGAGCCTCCCGGTTACTACTGCCCCGGTTACCCCGTGGTGGTGTGTCGAGCCGGCTGGGCACAGATGTAAATAACCGTCCCTGCCCAAGGGGCGCTGGTCTCAGGGGGAAGGTACGCGGTTGGAGACAGACGGGTGGGGGAGGTGTTCGCAGTGCTTAGCCTGTCAGGAGCAGCGATCGGAGGCTGGCAGGAGGCAGTCACGTGGGTGCGTTATGGCAGAGGGCAGTGCCAGGAGGCGGAAGGGGAACAAGGCGGGAGCTGCAGATTTCACCTGGGAACTTTTTCCTCGTCTGAGCCATCCGTGGAGAGAGCAGGACAGCTGCAAAGCTGGTGCAGGCTGGGTGGGGCATGCAGCAGGGTGGCGGGGTGCCCTCTACTCGCTCAGGAAGGGAACTTTGCTAAGGCCTGGCGTTGGTTTTTACATCGGTCCGGTTAACCAGCGCGAAGCCTGTGTGGGCACGCTGATTTCAATTTCAGCGCGGCTCCTTACCCTGCAGCCCAAACCTGTTCCTAAGTGGCTTAGGTTCTGTACATCGGGAAATCGCCTGGCGTAGCCAGGACAATATAGGAAAGGCAGGAAGTGTCCAGTGCTGTTGGCCCCTGGGTAGCTCATGGCCTGTGCTTTCCCAGGCCTAGAAAAACCCTTGCTTGTCGCAGAAGAGGAGGCATGTGCAAATCTACAAAAGCAACCGCTTGCGCCCCATTCGCGAGCCGCTTGGGAGCATGCCCAGCTAGTCCCACATCAGAAACGCCAGCAGGGAGCTCACGAGACTCCCAGAGCCAAGGGCCACATAAAACTCCGCCCGACAGGCACAGAGCAGAGCCGAGTCCATTCAAGTGCACGATAAAGCCCCGGGATGGCAGGTTAACCACTGCTCCAGGACGTGCCCTGCGGGCGCTGCAACGGCAGCTCCGAGTGCCCCGCCCAAGGCGCCTGTGCCAGCCCCGCGCAGCGCTGCCAGGGCCGCGGCTCGCAGGGCCCCGCTAACGGTGCTCAGGACTGGCCTGGGCGCGTCGGCCCCTGCTGCACACCTAAAGCACGCGGCCCTGCCGGGTACAGTTCGAACCGTGCGGAGCGCTGCCGTGTCACCATGGCAACGTGCCTGTGCGCAGCTGCCAGGACAGTGCGGCACGGAGCGCGCGGCCCGCGTACCGCATGGAGCAGACACTCAGCACTTCCCGGGCCGAGACGAGACGCCAGTTGCCATGGCAACGCACTGACTGTTCATGGTGAGGCAGTGTCCTATGGCCAGCCGCATGCAGACACTGCTGCTCAGCTGCCCAGCCCGGGCCCCAGGAACACGGGCGGGAGACCCGGCCGCGCGCAAGAGGAGAGGGGACGCTGCCAGCGCCAGCAGCCTGCCAGGGACTCGTCCCGAGAGCACAGGGCCCTGCAGGCCACGCAGGGGGCCCTGGCTTGGTGCCCTGGACGCTGCCCCGGCACTTTGCACTGACGCTTGCAGTCACCCCACGCCCCGTCTGCATTCGCCCGCTGAAGCCTGCCCAGCGGGGGTCCCGCCATGCTTGCTCTCGGCGAGGGACAGACTGGGCGTGCTTCAGAGCAGGAACTCATGCGGATAGGCAAGTGCGCAGCCCTGACCCTGAGTAGGGGCTTAGGCTCCCTCGCAACACTGGCATGGTAATAACGTTCCCTCCTTGTGGTGCCCGCTGGGAATGGGCACATTGGGGGTGTATTCCGGGGCTGCAAATGAGGAGGCTAAGACAGTGAAACCAAGTGCACTATGTGAAGGAAGGGTTAACAGCCGCCCCTGCTTCCTGTTCTCCCGCTGAGACAGCAACGTGCAGGGTGGGATGGGAAGGGAGCTCGCTACTGCAACCAGCCAGGGGCTCACTGGCCCTCCACAGAGCACACAGGCGCGCCCAGGGCGAAGTTGGCAAGCTGGTCTCAGAGCCCCCGTCCTCCGCCAACAGCAGCTGTGCCCCAGGGCGGGCAGGGCTCAGCCCAGACACAAGGCACTTGGCTTTCTTTACTGGCTGTGCCACCAGCTGGGCTGCAGCGGGCAGGTGAGCAGAGGAGGGACAAGAGACGCTACGTGCTGGGTTGTAATCCAACTGCACTCGAT